TCAGGTTGGATATGAAAGAAAACGCTCTTCAAGGAAGTTACTAATTGGTGCTGAACACACATCCAAGCATCATGTCTGCACTGCTCATTACGTGGCCAACAGCAACCCCACTGTGAAGCAGGGTGGTGGCAGCATCATGATGTGAGGATGTCCAGGCACTGGACGACTAGTCTGCATAGCTGGTAAAATGACAGCAGCCAAATATAAAGAGATCATTTAGGAGTGGTCTGGACCTCAAACAGTGATTCATCTACCAACACAATGATGGTAGGAAATACTTCAAACAGTTATGCCCAGCTTATAGAAACACACCCACTTAGACTTGAGGCTGTGATTACTAATATTAATGTACATGTGATTTAGTTGTTTAGTTATTTGAAATAAAATAGTTTCTCTTTGTCATTATGGTGTATTTTGTGTGCAATTGTTTGGGAAAGAAATATTTTATTCATTTGTCAATAAGGCTGTATTGTAAAATGTGGAAAAAGTGAATATCTAGTAGTACTTTCCAGATGCACCGTTAGACTAACTGGATTATTTCAAAGCAGGCATTCAGACAAAGGTTTCTGGACTATAATAATTTAGCAAGATGTGGAGATTCTGGGACACCACCTGCGTGGAGTTGGAGGTTATTTTGACTCCACCTATGCTCCAACAAGGACATCTTAAACAGACGTGAAGAAAAGGTGTTTTGTAGATGAAAGATCAAATCCGAGGTGTTATATGCACAACATATTGTACAAAAACAATTAATTGTACAATTTATAAAGAAGATATTCATTTTTTTCAGTAAATGCTTTCAAGCCGGACTTTACTGCCTGTTATCATTGCTAGACGTCAGAAAAAATGAGTTCTGAAAATAATTCGTAGCATTTTTTCCATTACTTTGTCTTTATGTAGTGCAGGATGCCACTGAGAGAGAAAAAACTAAAACAAAAACTTCTTTGTTTCAGCACAGTATCAAAGAAATTGTAAACTTTGTAAATGATTTACTACCGTTTATCTCTTGTAGTTTTAAACAAACGAGATGTTTGGCGACGCCATGTTTTTTTCTATTGAAACTTCTACAGTGCTTCCATTTTTTTTCTGTTTAGTCTTCTTGTTTAAAGTTTCTCTGGTTTGATTACACTGTAGATGAAGCTGTTTCCCGGAAGCCTGATCCATGTTAGGTTAATTTGGTCTGTTTCTGTTTTTCCATCCTCAGTACTCACTCGTAAATGAGCCTCTGATTGAGCTGGCCAACCCAGGCGCCAGCGGCTCGCTCTTCTACCTGACCAGCGATGATGAGTTCATCATTAAAACGGTCCAGCACAAAGAGGCCAAGTTCCTGCAGAGGCTGCTACCTGGATACTACATGGTGAGGAACACAATGCCTTTCTCTGTCTTACGCTGGCATATGATCTCCTAATTACCAAAATAAAAAAATAAACAGCCAAAAAAAACAACAACTAATAGAATGTGTTTGTAAAGGTTTAATTTTATTCCAGGTAAAGTCAGACAAAACAAACAAGATGTAGATTCTGGTAAAAGAAAACATGGAGGATAATTAACATGGGCACAAACACCAGTTTTTTCCTTGGTAACCGCATCTTGTGTATATTTTGAGATTGGCTTTAGTGAATTAATTTAATAATTCCCTAGGGATTAACTGCATCTTCTTGTGTTTAAATCATTGTGGTGAAATATCTCATATACAATGAAATTAAATAAAGTGTAGAAGGAGAAGAAGGATTAGGACCTTCAGGGATTACTGGGAATGGATTGAGTTGTTAGTGAGTTTTGCAGCCTGGCAGCGGGTGAACTGTGTTTAAAGCCTGGATGGATGGAAACTCTCACTCAACAGTTCAATATCTGGGATGCAGACATATGCTTTCCCAGTAACATATCCATCGATCTCATCCTTGTGTTACTGTCTACAGTAACAAAGTCCCTTTTTACTCTTGAAGCTCTGACTGTGTTTTCTTTCTGAAAAACTGAATCAGATTTATTTATATTTTAATCTCCATTTATTTTTACTATTTCCTTCAGTGCTCCATGGTTGTCAGGTTCATTTGCCTGTGATCACACATTCCTCTTAGTAATCAAGCGAATTATTGGTTTAAACCTTTGCTGCTGTTCTCTCACTTTTGCTTTCCCATAAAGGTCAAGTATTATCAGGTTTTTGTTTTTTTTTATCATGTTTTAGCTTTTAGGTGTATTTTACTATTTCTTCCTTTTTACGTAATGCTTAAATTTTACTTTTATTTTTTATGTATTTCTTGTGCTTACTAAAATTTTTATTTCGTATTTTTTCCTGTTAGACATTTTTATTACATTGTGTATTACGTTATGCTGTGTACTGTGTAAATATGCAACAATCACCTCAGAAAACATGGCTGAATGTTTCCATAATAAAATTGTGATTTTTCACCACAAAAATCCAATAGCCAAGCAAGCACTGAACAGTTGCATAGTTAGAGGTCTTCAAACCACGTCTTGGTATATCTATGAAGAAATTTTTCTTCTGAAAGAAAACTATGCTATGAAAAATAAAGTGAAAGGAGTTGTATGACTATAGGTAAGATTTCTAATACAGTACAGTCTCCATAGATCAGCTCCCAAATTCCTTCTTTTTGTCTACTTAATGTCTTAATAAAAGTCTGCAAAGTCTAGAAAATGCTGCATAGTACATCCAAATGTGAATACAAGCGCTTTTAAATCCACAGAACCTGAACCAGAATCCCCGCACGTTGCTGCCCAAGTTTTACGGCTTGTACTGCATTCAGACCGGGGGTTTCAACATCCGACTGGTTGTGATGAACAACGTGCTTCCCCGCTCTGTCAAGATGCACTACAAATATGACCTGAAGGGATCCACCTACAAGAGGCGAGCGTCCAGGAAAGAGAGGGAGAAAGGCCGTCCAACGTACAAGGATCTGGACTTTCAGGACATGCATGAGGAGGGGCTTTACTTTGATACCGAGACATACAACAATTTGATGAAGACCCTGCAGAGAGACTGTCGGGTAGGTGGTGGTTTCTCATTGTGTTGTAGAAGGGTGCTTAGTCGACTTGCTTTGAAATAGTAGAGCTAGTTTTCACTGGATATCAATTCCTGCATAATTGTTTTTGCTGGAACACCAGATCTTTCTCCCAGCAATAACAAAGAGATGCATCAATCAGAGAAATCAAATCTCTGGTTTTAAAAACCTACCTGTACCAAGTTTAGCCAATTCTGACTTGGAACTATTGTTAACAGCATATTTTCTTTCTATCCCCTATGACCTGAGAGAACACCTGTAATAAGGAAAACATAACATTGCGATATAATTGTTGAATATTGCGATCAATTCCATGATCTCCAGATGCATCAAATATGATGACCTCATATTTCCCCTTTACTCTCTTTTCCATAATCATAATGTCTCCACCACTCTCCCTGAGCTTTTTGATCTTGGTCACTAAGATCTTGTAAGAGTTGTCGGCTAACAGCTTATTGCATTCAGGCAGTCCTTTGAGATTGTGATGTCGCAGACAGTGATATTGTGATGATTGCAATTCTAGACGCATTGGGCGGCTCTACCTGTAATGCATTTAGTCTTCCTGCAGCCTGCTGAAGTCGGCTTTGGGTCAGTTCGCCTCCAGTTCACAAAATATCCCTAAGACGTGTAGGAATTTACACCATGTGGCGACAGTACCTTTACGTAGGGGGTAAGCTCATGTATGTAATGACTATAACTGCACATACCAAAAGCTAGTAACAATAGCATTTTCTTTTAAGTAGCTTCTTGCATCTTTTGTTCTATGACTACATTTTTAAACGTAACAACGTTTACCCTGAAGAATGTCGTTCTGGTAGCCTAGGTATGTCCTGATAAACATTGGATTTGTAAGTTCCAACTGGACAGTCACCTGTTAGATCCAAGCAGAAAATTGTCTGAGTCCAGTCACCAGACAATTGTCTTCATTTATGAAGATTTATTGCAATTACGTGTTTATAGAAAACAAAACAATGACATCAACTAATACATGATTTAAACATGAAAGGCTCAATTTAGGGATAGTCCTCTGAAATAAACATTAATTTTCTTCTCTAGTTGGATACATTTCTTGCGTGTTTCATCAAAAACATCAAACAGAATCAGAACAAGAACCAATTAGCTTGGAGACTTTTCCAAGTGTTAAGTGGTTTTATTCTGCTGCACATGTTTCTCATTTTCAATAAACTTCCTAATTAGGTCATTAGCCTCGGAAGGTAATACCCTCAGAAGTTACCTTTAGTTTTATTCAACTTCAGAAGGGGATTGTTTGTTTGACCACAGGCGTTCGATAGTAGCAAAATAAAGATGTTTTGTTTTTTGTGCAATGATGTTCCTACACTGAAGTAAACAGCCACTTGAGACAGCTTCTTTCGAGATGAAAGTACAACTTACAGGAAGTTATTTAAGTTGCTTTAACTCCTGTCCTTTGTCAGACTGTTTGAACAGCCACAAGGTGTAATATCCTGGTCCGTGTAAATACAGTAATACAGTGTGTTACTGTAAATGTAGATGAGGCCAGAGTCCAGGAAAGAGACTTCCTGGCAGAGATTTTGCAGAGCTGGACTAACCTGCCTGGCCTGACAGTTCTGCCTGGAAAACCTAAAAATGTAATGATTTTCATTACACCACACTCAATGGCTACCACATGGACAAGAATTAGGGCAAATGAGCTTTGGGTATATTTAGTTTGGCCTGGTACATAGCTCCAATCTCTGGTTTTATTTTGAAACAGAACATTTAGTTACTATGTTTTTTTTCTTCTTCTAAAGTTTTACTCCAGTTTTGTCATTGGAGACTGTTTCCTGGAAATGTATGAACAACTCTTGCTTTCACACCTCCTAAGTCCATTAGTGGATCCTTTTACAAGCTTTCACGAGTCACGGGATATCAAGCTGGAGTGACATTTCAACCTTTATGCAAATTCCTAACATATATGCATATGCAGACTTTTCTATTTTTGTTTCTGAATGTTTTTTTAGCTGCACGGTGGCGCACTTGGTAGCACTGTTGGCTTGCAGCACAAAGGTCCTGGGTTTGACTCCCAGCCGCAGGTCTTCCGGCATTGAGTTTGTATGTTCTCCCTGTGCATGCGTGGGCTCTCTCCGGGTACTCCTCCCAGAGTCCAAAAACATGACTGTTAGGTTCATTGGTTTCTCTAAATTGCCCTTAGGTGTGAATGGTTGTTTGTCCAGTGTGTCTTTGTGTTGCCCTTCGATGGACTGGTGACCTGTCCAGGGTGTATCTCGACAGTAGACTGCTGGAGATAGGCCCCAGAACCCCTGCGACCCCGTGTAGAAGAAGTTGGTATAGAAAATTCTTGAATTGCGCCGCTCAAGGTGGCAGCAGGTTGGAGTAGCTCTGTTACTTTTGATTCTGATTTATTCTTTTTTGGGAACTATTCCTCTTGTGGTGGATACAGTTGATTTTTTTTGGACGACTGTCCACT